TTTTTTGAGATGAAGTCTCACTCTATAGCACAGGCTGGAGTGCAGTGGGGTAATCATGGCTTACTGCAAACTTTGCCTCTTGGATTCAAGCAATTCTCCTTCCTCAGCCTCCTAAGTAGCTGGGACGGCACCACCATGTGGGCCTGGCTAATTTTTATATTTTTAGTAGAGACGGGGTTTCTCCATGTTAGCCAGGTTGGTCTTGAACTCCTGGCCTCCAGTGATCCACCTGCCTCAGCCTCCCAAAGTGCTGGGATTACAGGCATGAGGCACTGTGTCTGGCCAGTTTTTGTTTTTTGAGACAGGATTTCTCTCTGTTGCCCAGGCTGGAGTACAGTGGTACTATTATGACTAACTGCAGCCTTGACCTCCCAGATTCAAGTGATCCTTTCATCTCAGCCTCCTGAGTAGCTAGAACTACAGGTACACACCACCACACCCAGCTAATGTTTTTTATTTTTTGTACAGATGGGGTCTCTTTGTCTTGCTCAGGCTGGTCTTAAACTCTTGGGCTCCAGTGATGGAGTCTAGCTGTCACCAGGCTGGAGGGCAGTGTCTTCCCAAAGTGCTGGGATTATAGGCATGAGCCACCATGCCTGGCACTTAACTGATAGTGGATTTTCAAACGTTTTCTCCCATTCTGTGAGTTATCTTTTTACACTTTTGATAGTGGTTTATGGTTTTTGTTTTTTGTTTTGAGAGACAAAGTCTTGCTCCGTTGCCCAGGCTGGAGTACAGTGGCGTGATCATAGCTCACTGTAATCCTGAACTCCTGAGCTCAAGAAGTCTTCCTGCCTCAGCCTCCCTGATACCTGGGACTACAGTGCATGCCATCTTGCCCCACTCATGATAGTGTAATTTGATGCAGAATAGTTTTTCATTTTTTATGAAGTCCAGTTTTATCTACATTTTTCTTTTGTCGCTTGTGCTTTTATTGTCATATCTAAGATACTTTTGCCTAACCTGAGGTTGTGAAGATTTATACCCTTGTTTTAAGAGGTTTATAATTTCAGCTCTTACATTTAAGTCTTTGATGTATTTGTAGTTAATTTTATGTATGGTGTGATCCAGGGGTTAATCGACTTTCTTTTGTATTGGATATCCAGTTATCTCAGCACCATTTGTTGAAAGACTGTTCTTTACTCATTGAATTGTAAAACCAGGGGACCACCTGATATTAGCCAAACTGCAAAGTTGGAAGCCAGTTATTGAGTTTAGAGGGCACACTGCCCTCCTAAAGACCACCTTCACTTCTGAAACCAACCGCAATTTCAGAGGGTTGCAAAACCATCCTCATATTTGCTAATTCACCAGAACTCACTGAAAGCTGTTATAGTCATGATTATAGTTTATTATAGGGAGCACAGAGATTAAAATCAGCTAAAGGAAGAGACAAATAGCACAGAGTTAGCCAGGTGTGGTGGCTCACGCCTGTAGTCCCAGCACTTTAGGAGGCCAAGGTAGGCAGATAACGAGGAGTTTAAGACCATCCTGGCCAACATCGTGAAACCTGTCTCTGCTAAAAATACAAAAATCAGCTGGATGTTGCAATGCATGCCTGTAATCCCAGTTACTTGGGAGGCTGAGACAGGAGAATTGCTTGAACCTGGGAGGTGGAGGTTGCAGTGAGCTGAGATTATGCCACTGCCCTCCAGCCTGGTGCCAGCTAGACTCTGTCTCAAAATAAATAAATAAAAAATGGAGCAGAGTCTTAAAGGATTTTAGACATGAAGCTTGCATGCTACGCTCCCGCAGAGTCAGGACACATTACCTTCTTGGCATAGATGTATGACAATATGCTTGAACTACAGCAGCCCCTTCTTACCCACAGTATCACATTCTGGGGTTTCAGTTACTCACAGGCAACTATGATTTGAAAATATTAAGTGGAAGATTCCAGAAATAAACAATTCATAAGTTTTAAAATGCATGCTGTTCTGAGAAGCATGATGAAATCTTACTCTGTTCCACTCTACCTTACCCGGAACGCAAATTGTCCCTTTGTCTAGCGTCTCTACTCTGTATACAGGGCCCACCTGTTAATCACTTAGTAGCCGTTTTTCGATCAACTGTTGTGCTATTACAGTGCTTTTGTTGAGGTCCCCTTATTTTGCTTAATATTAGCCCTAAAGCACAAGAGTAGTGATGCTGGCAACTCAGATATGCCAGAGAGAAGTCAGGAAATGTATCCTTTATGTGAAACGGTTAAAGTTCCTGACTTAAGGAAATTAAAAAATTGTATGCTGAGGTTGCTAAGATCAAGCTTGTGTTTGTGAAACTCTTTCTTCACAGAAAGAAAAATTCCTGCTAGTTTTGTTGTCACACCTCTGGCTGCAAAAATTACGGCCACAGTGCATGATAAGTGCTTAGTTAAGATGGAAAAGGCATTAAGTTTTTGAGTGGAAGACATGAAGAGAAATAGCTTTCAATCAACAGCGTTCAGGTTTAGTACTATACCTGGTTTCAGGCGTCCCCTAGAGGTCTTGGAACATATCCCCGTGAATAAGGAGGGACCACAGTATTGCCTACCAGGTGCTTCCAGAGTATTTATTAGGGCATCATTATATAAGCCTGATTGATTTGCTTGGCTGCCCACGTGGTTGAACTCAATCTTCAAGTCAACCGATAACAAGTTGTCCAAAGTCCCCCACCCTAAACCACATGGTTGGTCTTTCTGGTAAGGCCAGCTTTCATCCTAAGACTTCTGGGTGTTGAAGCTACAACCTAAAATCTGGTAACAAACACATACTTATTAGGTCTGACATGGATTACCTCCCAAAGGCAAAGGCCAGACATCTCTTTGAATAAGGTCAACTTTTTTACTACATTGAGACAAATATTTATTTAAGGACAAAGTTAAGGAGGGAATTAGTTTTTTAAACTGAGTATCAATAGTCTGCCAGGAGTTGTATTAGGATCTTTTTGTATGGCCAACTCATTAAATTTTCAAATTAACTCTGAGAAATATTGTTTCTTCTCTTTTTTTTTTTTTTTCTAGGTATACACACATCTATTAGTTCTGTAAATGTTTCTTTATTTGGCACATGAGGAAACTCAGGCTCATATGTTTTTTCTTCTTCTTCTTTTTTATTTTTAGAGACAGGGTCTTGCTTCATTGCCCAGGCTAGTCTCAAATTTTTGGTCTCTGGGCTCAAACAGTCCTCTCGCCTCAGCCTCCCAAAGTGTTAGGATTATAGGTTTGAGCCACCACCCCCGACCTGAGGCTCATACATTGAGCAACTTCTCTGAGAGATGGAGCTAGGATCAGACCAAAGTTCCTCTGCCGCAGAGCCCTTAATCAGATGCCACTCATCAGGACTGCTTCACTGCATAACTCCAGGGTACCCACATTGTATTCTCTGAGGATGGCTTTTCTTGGGATTGTACAGTGAAGCACTTTATGTCCCAGCCACCCTAAATAATACATACCATCTGAATAAAGGCAGTGTGCTTGCTGCATAAATGTAGCTTCCAGACAAGTTTCCGTGTCTTCCTCTACTGTGTATGAATTCTGGAGCTGTCACTCTACATTGCCTCCCAGTACAGCCAGTTAAAATGTCCGTGAAGGTACACGCCTCAGGTAACCTTTTGGTGTATTAATGACCATCTTGTTTTGGAATACCAAGCGATAGTTGTGTTACCTCTTTTTCTGGGTTGATTTGAGCATCACTGAAACTCTTGCTACTCTGTTTTCCTTCTCAGGCTGCTGTACAGGACAGATTGAATGAGCAAGAGGGTGTACCTAGTGTTTTCAACCCCCCTCCATCACGACCCCTGCAGGTTAATACAGCTGACCACAGGATCTACAGCTATGTTGTCTCAAGACCTCAGCCAAGGGCAAGTTATTTCATAGCTGGAATTTCCTCCTTTTTTATTTATAAGTTCATTCACTTGGTTATATTGATCTCCCTGTGACAGGAGCAAAATAAGTATTTAGAATATAAACCTGTTAGTTAGACTTGGCCCCTTGGTTATATTATTTTGCCTTGATTCCTCAATGAATTGATATAGAAACTATTCATTTTCTTTCTATTCTTTGCCAGTTATTTGGAGAGTGTTTTTTACTTCTTAAGTTACAATTTGTTTACTCAAGTTCTTTGTTGCTTCAGTTTACTTAATCTTAAACCACTTTTGGGGAAGTACATGGAATCTTTGTAGGAACTTTGGCCACATCTTTGAAGTAAGTGTTGAAGGACTAATAGCAAGGAGGTGATTCACTGAAATTCAGTAGACATACAAGAGCACTTCAATAACCTGGTATTTTGCTATTAGGGATCCAGACATGAATAAAGAGCCAGTCTTCCCATCCCTTTAACATTGCAGCAGTTAGAATATACTCCATCATCATTGCCTTTTTGTGGAGTACTTGATTTTTTTTGTTGTTTTGTTCTGTTTGAGACAGGGTTCACTCTGTTGCCCAGGCTAGAGAGCAGTGACACAATCTTGGCTCACTGCAGCCTAGACCTCCCGGGCTCAAGCAATCCTACAGGTGTGTGCCACCATCCTGGCTAATTTTTTTTATTTTTTGTAGAGATGGGGTCTTGCTATGGTGCCCAGGCTGATCTTGAACTCCTGAGCTCAAGTTATCTGCCCACCTCAGCCTCCCAAGTGCTGGAATTACAGGCTTGAGCTACTGTGCCTGGCCTACTTGATGTTTTAAAACATGTTTCTAAGTAGTGCTTTGTGGTTTTCTGAAGTACAGTAGCAGATTCCCATATCAGCCATGGGGCTCCATCCTGGCCATGGACACAGAACATGTCTCAGGTTAACACAGTGTGACATCTATGGAATGCTTTGTAAACTATAGAGCCCTGGATGTATGCTAGTTTTAATAATTAGTAACAGCAATAATAATAATTAGCATTAACATTTATATACCAATGTCTAAAGTTAGTTAGTGGTTCTCTTTTTTGCTATTTCTATAAACATTATTTTAGGTTTTTATGTTTGTTTGTTTTGTTTTGTTTTGTTTTGAGACAGAATCTCCCTCTGTCACCCAGGCTGGAGTGCAGTGGCAAGATCTCAGTTCACTGCAGTCTCCGTCTCCCAGGTTCAAGCAATTCTTCTGCCTCAGCCTCCTGAGTAGCTGGGATTACAGGTGCCACCACGACTGGCTAATTTTTATATTTTTAGTAGAGACTGGGTTTTACCATGTTGGCCAGGCTGATCTCAAACTCCTGACCTCAAGTGATCTGCCTGCCTTAGCTTCCCAAAGTGCTGGGATTACAGACTTGAGCCACCACACCTGGCTAATTTTTGTGTTTTTAGTAGAGACAGGGTTTTACCATGTTGGCCAGGCTGGTCTCAAACTCCTGACCTCAAGTGATGTGCCTGCCTCAGCCTCCCAAAGTGTTGGGATTACAGGCATTAGCCCCTACACCTGGCTAGTTTTTGTATTTTCAGTAGAGACAGGGTTGTTTTTTTTTTGTTTTTATTTATTTATTTATTTATTTTTAGAGACCGGCTGGTCTCGAACTTCTGACCTCAGGTGATCCAGCTGCCTTGGCCTCCCAAAGTGTTGGGATTACAGGTGTGAGCTACTGAGCCTGGCCTATTTCTATATACCATATTTTGATATGTAAAAAAAAGGACAGAATGAATATGTATCATTTGGGGGACATTAACTTGCAATTGCATTTGACAAGTATATAAGTAGCTGCAGAAAAAAAGTATTAAAGCAGCTTTGGTGTTTGTTTGAGACGGAGTTTCACTCTGCCCCCTAGGCTGGAGTGCAGTGGCGCAATCTCAGCTCACTGCAACCTCCACCTCCTGGGTTCAAGCGATTCTCCTGACTGAGCTTCCCCAAGTAGCTGAGACTACAGGTGCATGCCACCACACCCGGCTAATATTTTTGTATTTTTAGTAGAGACAGGGTTTTACCATGTTGGCCAGGCTGGTCTTGAACTCCTGACCGCAGGTGTTCCGCCTGCCTCGACCTCCGCAAGTGCTGGGATTATAGGTGGGAGACATTGTGCTGGGCCTTAAAGCAGATTTAATACAAAAATTATGCGGGGAAAAAAAGAAAATGATAGTAAGATGAAATAAGATCAGAGATGGTGGCACTTAGGAAGGATGAAGTGGCCAGGAAGAGGGAACCCATATTTTAGAGGAACAAATCACATGGAAGGACAAAAAAGAGTGAGCAAATCTGAACTAGCCATTTGATGAAGTATTAGGGATTGAGATAATTTTGTCTAACTTTGTTTTTGGACTTTCAGGGGCTGCTTGGATGGGGTTATTACTTGATAATGCTTCCATTCCGGTTTACCTATTACACGATACTTGATATATTTAGGTATGTACCTTTGAATTTATGTATTAGTAGCATGGTAAGACTTTGGAGCTGAAATTTAGGCCAAAATAAGTTTTATGCTGTATCAATGTTAACTTGCCAATTTGTCATGAGATTGAATACTCTTCCCAAACTCTTTTAATACTGTATAAAAATATTTTAAATTGTTGAACCATTGGCAGGCATTGTGAAATGGAATTATTTTTAAATTAGTTTCACATATTGTTTGCAAAAACCAGTCTGGCCATATTTATTTGTCTTCCCCCCACCACCATATTTGTCACCTCTGCATTTCCTAGTTGATGTCCACACCCTTTCCTTTCTAACCACCATCATCTCCTAGCTTTACACTCATTAGAACTTTGTCCTTGAACTACTTTTCCACCTGACTACTCACAATCCCAACAAATTCTCTTGCTCTGAGATTACCCAGCTTGCCCTTGATTCGTCCCACAATAGGTGCACCTCTCTATACACTCACTCCTGGTATACCTTTTCTTTCCTTTTTTTTTTTTTTTTTTTTTTTTTTTTGAAACAAAGTCTTGCTCTGTCGCTCAAGCTAGAGTGCAGTGGCGCGATCTTAGCTCTCTGCAACCTTCACCTCCCATGTTTGAATGATTCTCCTACCTCAGTCTCCCAAGTAGCTAGGATTACAGGCATGTGCCACCATGCCTGGCTAATTTTTGTATTTTTAGTGGAGACAGTACAAATGGAGTCTCACTTTGTTGGCCAGGCTGGTCTCCAGCTCCTGGCATCGAGTAGTCCACCTGCCTTGGCCTGCCGAAGTGCTGGGATTACAGGTATGAGCCACCACGCCTGGCACCTTCTGTACCTTTTCACTTTGCCCTGGCAACTGGAACCCTTTTATGTATATACCCATTTGCTTTATACCCTCACGTTTCTTCTAGCTTCCTTTATGTGCCATTAAAAGAGCTCATCACTGTAAGCTACAGAGGGTCCAAGGCCAGAAACTGAATGGGGCACAATTTCCTAGCATGTCAGGATTGGGTTATCTGGCCTTGAGCCACACCTACGCTTTATGGAGAACTAAAATGTTCATGGGCATCCAGGCCAGCAGATGGAGCTGGGATATGTAGTATGGGCCTTGTATATACAGGGAACCTGAACCTCCCTCCAAATATGGGACAGCCTTTGTCCTGCTCTAGGGAGCAGAGGCTGAAGGTGAGGGTCCAGCAGCTGCATAAGTACAAGGATCAGATAGTACCTTTTATATTGGCCCCTTGGTGTTTTATGAGGTTGTCTGCTTAATGGCTTTCTTGCTTTAGCAACATTCTTTGTGGTCACCAATTAACTGCTTAGTACTGTTTCCATCCCCATTTTATTTAAGAATGAACATGTAAAAACCTTTAAAATCAATGGAAACTAAGTTGACATCTCTGTTTTTTCTAAAAAATAAAAAAAGCCGATTGTCCTAAATTGTGTAGCTCATGGGAATATAGTGTAATGAGGAAAAAGAAAGCCTTTATTCACTCATCGAAAGAGATAATTCTAAAATACTGAATTTCAAAGAAAGTAGTTTAAACATCAGTCTTCTAAAGAATTTCTAACCGTTCCCCCCAAGTATACAATTTACTACATTTTGTGTTTTTAATTTGCTCTGGATTGTTTGTGTCAATGAATTTGGTTTGATTACTTGGGAGATATTTCAAGTAGAATTGTATACACATGGGGAAATTTATTGGGATAATGAATTGGTTCACTTTTTGGTAAGGAAAGTATCATAGTTTAGTCACCTTTTCTGTGCTGAAAGTTTTTCAAGTAAATGAATATTGTTTGCTTTCCTAGGGAAAATATGCATGGCATGTATCACTAATTTTAATGCAGCTGTATCATCCAACCAACTTGTTTAATGTTATGTAGCACGTTAGTCTCTGTCCCATTGCCTTCTCTGGAAACCAAAGGATAAATAAATGGTACTATACAACTAGAATAGGCCCTTTAGAAACAGATGTGTGGTACCATTAGGTATTGTATTCTTCACTTTACAAAAGCTGCCAATACTCCACATTTGCCAGGGTATTGTGGAGCAGTTTTATAACTTCTTACATGGGTACCATCTACCATAAATCATCAAGCAAAATTTACTTACCCCTTTGAAGAGCAAGTAAATAATGACTGCAACTTCAGATTTGAAGTTCCTATCCATAATTTGAATAGTTTGGGGTTGTGAACTCAGTATTCAAAATCCCAGGAAAACAGAAACAAGTAGGACAACCAGAAAGTGACCTCTGTTCTAGAGCAACACTATCACGTAGAACTGTGATGATAAAAACGTTCTGTATCTCCACTATTCAGTGTGAAAGCCATTAAACACATGTGGCTATTGAGCACTTGAAATGTGGCTAGCATTACTAAGGAACTGAATTGTAATTGTATGGAATAGATTTAAATTTAGAAGAGCCACATTTGACTAGTGGCTGCAGTGTTTAGACAGTACCATTCTAGAGAATCTGGGTGCATAGCCTGGCACATGATCTTTTTGGTTACTGTGTCTTCCTTTCCAAACCCTTCTAGCCTAAATCGTTATGCAGAAAATACTCAGGATTTATACAGACCAGTGTCGGAATTTATAATCCCAGTAGTTTGCATTCTTTTTGAACAGGCAATAGAGTAACACTTGGTGCTTTATGGCTTTTGAACCAGACTCTACTCTGAGATTTGATGGTCCACCCACAGATCATTCACCTTCCTTTGTTGCCATGCCTCTGGCTCTGTTACAGGAATCTGTACAAATTGGCCCGCTCCATATGCACTATAGTAAGCTGGATTCATATGATATTTATTCCTTCCTCCCCAGGTTTGCTCTTCGTTTTATACGGCCTGACCCTCGCAGCCGGGTCACTGACCCTGTTGGGGACATTGTTTCATTTATGCACTCTTTTGAAGAGAAATATGGGAGGGCACACCCTGTCTTCTACCAGGGAACGTACAGCCAGGTCAGTGCCACAACCATATAGATGCCAACTTACTGAAATGATTCTATCCTCAAAGGAAAGCATAGCCCAGCACTGATCATGTCCTTTTTTTACTCGAAAACCTTAATTAACTCTTCACTGCTCACAGGGGGTAATATAAAAAGACCAAACCTTTTAGCTGGCCCCTCTTTGATCCAGTGCGTCCTTCTTTTGAGGTATTTTCTATATAACTTATTTTACCATACCCTCAGTTGCAGCTGATCCATTCCCTGAACATATTTCATACTTGCCTACCTCTGTGCCTTTGCTTTTGCTGGTCCCTCTACATAGAATGCCTTCCTCACATTTTTGCTAATTGGAATCTTGCCAATCCTTAAACTAGCTCATTCGCTCCTCATAATTCTCCATGTTGTGCCCTATCCTGCCCTATCTCACAATCTAGAATACCAATCTTTCCTTTTCTTCTACCATAGCTTTTAAAAATTGATAGCAATTTCATATTCTTTCCTATATTATAGTTATTTATGTTCATGTCTAATCTTTGCTACCAAACTGTAAGCCCCTTGGAGGCAAAGCCTAAATCTTCTTTGATCTCACACAGAATTGAATAAGAACAAAGACCATAGACTCAGGGTAGCATCAGCCTCAGCCTCAGCCACATAGACCTTTAACTCAGACCTCACTATTCAGGGGAGGAAAAATTAGAGTTCTGTGGGTGTTAGGTATATCTCTAGTTTGCCAGAGAAATACATAGAATTAATACCACAATAATAGGGAAAACTATGGGAATGCTATGGGAATAGGCAAAAGAGCGTTCTATTATATAGCCTCCAGGATTCCTGAATCTATCTGGAGAAAGAGAAAAATGCTCACCCTTGCTTCCTGCTTTTGATTTTCCCACATCTGTTTTTTATCATAGTCTCCTAGGTGGCTGTTTCCACCCTACTCAGCAAGCACTGAGCACCTACTGTATGCCAGGCAGTGTCCTCAGTGTTAGAGATACAGAGATGAATGAGATGAGCACCTCCCATGTACCCTCTCTGCTATGACCCTGAGGATATACCATCCTTGGCTATGTCAGCATTCTTACAGTGTAATGTGCTCAGGAGCATGCACATGCGAAAGCATGCACAGAAGTCTTGCACGCCAGCCTTGTCTCTGAAAGTCTTTTACACTCTATACTCTTTAGAATGCCTTTGGGTCCTATAGTCCATCATTCCTACTCGATATATGGCCTGGGATCAGGGTTGTCTTTCCAGTTATTTTTTACTTAAAAGGATGTTATAACTGTGAAAAATTCTCACCTCCCTTTCATATGGTTAGATTCTCCTGTTTTTATCTTCCTTTAGACTGTGGGTGCAGCTGACTTTTCTGTGATTTGTTGGGAACCTGTATTTGTAAGCCTGTCTACTCTCATGTATCTGTTATAGTTTGAATCCTAACAACACTAAAACCTTTTCATTAAAGCTTGTTAGCATGGAGTTTCTATAGGGAGAACAATGCCAGGGGTGTGAAGGTAGGAGCTCAGGTATTTTTTGATTTCTCGCTCACCTTTCTTCCTTATTTTTCCTTTTGTTCCTAAATACATAGCTGTATCCATTAGGACCCTTAGCCTAAATATAAGTTCAAGGCACAGTCTTCATAATAATTAGTGATCTTCTATTTCTCACAGGCACTTAATGATGCCAAACGGGAGCTTCGCTTTCTTTTGGTTTATCTTCATGGAGATGATCACCAGGACTCTGATGAGTTTTGTCGGTAAGTGGATTGATTATTTTCCTTCTCTTTTCTGACTCTTTCTGCTGACAGTTTGTAGTCAGCAAGTTGTTCTCATGTCCTTTTCCATACCTTTCCACAGCAACACACTCTGTGCACCTGAGGTTATTTCACTAATAAATACTAGGATGCTCTTCTGGGCATGCTCTACAAACAAACCTGAGGGATACAGGGGTAAGTTATGTTTCTTCTGCCTCATTGAGATTGTTGGAGTATCTTTGAAGTAGTCTGGAAAGACATGCCATGCCATTTATTACAAGGGTGTTCATTCTGTGGTAGATACAATGCTAGTTCCTGTTTTATATTGTGTCATTTAATCCTCTCAGCAGTCCTGAGCAATGTGTGGGGGGCTCATATTACCTTCACTTTATAATTTATACCTTCACTATATTACCTTAACTTTATGAAACGGGCTCAGAGAGTTTAAGCCACTGGCTGAAGATCACACAATCAGCAAGTTTTAATTTTTTGTGTTTTATTTAACTAAGTTATTTTTTTTCTGAGATGGAGTCTCGCTTTGTCTCCCATGCTGGAGTGCAGTGGCATGATCTCGGCTCACTGCAACCTCCACCTTCCCGATTTAAGCGATTCTCCTGCCTCAGCCTCCTGAGTAGCTGGAACTACAGCCGTGCGCTACCATGCCTGGCTAATTTTTTTGTATTTTTAGTAGAGATGGGGTTTCACCATGTGCTCAGGCTGGCCTTGAACTCCTGGACTCAAGTGATCAGCCCACCTCAGCCTCCCAAAATGCTGGGACTACAGGTGTGAGCCACCACGTCCTGCTCCGCCATAATTAGCAAGTTTTAGAGTACAACCAGGTCTACCAGACTCTAAAGCCCATGCTTCACATGCAACATTGCCAAAGCCTGCCACATTCAGAGAAATACCCAGTCTTGGCTAGCAGCTTGCATTTAATCTTAATGGGCTTTTTACTGAAGAGATTATTCTCTTCATCAGCAATTTTAACAGAGCCCTTGCCCAATGAGTCAATTGTTTGAGTACCTTGAGTGCTGATACGGATTTGGAAAGTTCAGATCTTTGCTGACAATAACTCTTCTTTGGAGATAAGTATTTTTAGATGGTTAGTAAAAGATAAAAAAGCATCCAGTTAAGAAAAATGTAGAGGCCGGGCGCGGTGGCTCACGCCTGTAATCCTAGCACTTTGGGAGGCTGAGGTGGGTGGATCACCTGAGGTCAGGAGTTCAAGACCAGCCTGGCCATCATGGAGAAGCCCCATCTTTAAAAAAAAAAAAAAAAAAAAGAAAGAAAGAAAAATGTAGTCATTTTTGCAGCTACTTCTGTCCAGCGACCTTTGAGTATATATTAGCATGCCACATACTGTGCCATGTCTTGAGAACCAAAGATGTGGCAGATGTTGTCCCTGCATCCTGGAATCTGAATCTTAGGCCTGATTGTTTTTAAACATCTGAATACCTGCATGCATTTTGCCATTCTAATATGGCTTTGCCGGGGCGGAAGGGAGGTTTTGAATAGAAGGAAAATAAGAATTTTTTTTAATAGAAGTTTATAAAATCTCTTCTTTCACACCATAAAGGAAAACATAGGTAAAACTCTGTTATGGTAAAATCTTGGTCATTTAGACACCACTTTTCTTTTTTTTTTTTTTTTTTTTTTTGAGACCAAGTCTCACTCTGTTCCCCAGGCTGGCGTGCAGTGGCACGATCTTGGTTCACTGCAGCTTCAAATGATTCTCCTGCCTCAGCCTCCCGAGTAGGTGGGATTACAGGTGTGCACCACCACGCCTGGCTAATTTTTCTATTTTTAGTAGAGACAGGGTTTCACCATATTGGCCAGGCTGGTCTCAAACTCCTGACCTCAAGTGATCCAACTTCCTTGGCTTCCCAAAATACTGGGATTAAAGGTGTGAGCTACCATGCCCAGCCTCAGTTTTCTATTAATAAGCTCCTTTAGAACTGAAAAACTAACCTTTTTAAGGATAGAAAAAAGATACATTGGGAGAAAGGGTAAAGAAAGCATTAGGCAAGAGAAAAAAAAAGATGATGGTGGAGATTATCATCAGTAGCATCCAGCTGAGACTTGAAGCCTTGTGCCCTTTTAGGGCTTGAACCCTCGTACAGGGAAAACTGTGCCAGATTCTTTATAGATCTTTTTCCTACCATTAAGGAGACGTTGTCCTTGAACTCTGCACCCTTCCCTGGCATCATCACAACAACCACACCACCACAAGGAAAACCTGTCCTATTCTAGTGAAGGACCTAGGGACAGGCATGCAAATGGATAACAAAAACAAAAGATTACAAAACTGGGAGGAACTGGGCATGGTGGCACACTCTTGTAATCCAGCTACTCAGGAGGCTGAGGCGGGAGGATCACTGGGAGAAACTGGGCATGGTGGCACATTCTTGTAATCCAGCTAGTCAGGAGGCTGAGGTGGGAGTCACTAGACTGAGCAACATAGTGAGACCCTGGCTCCAAAAAAGAAAGAAAGAAACTAGGAGGGGGTAAAAGGGAGAAACTAAGTGATACCTCCCATCTTGCCTAACCAGGATTAAAACAGTTCTCTCTTACTCATTGTAGAAAGTCTAAGAATTGATCTTTTTCACCATCAAGTCCTGCCCTTGATCTCTTGGGTCTTTTTGTCAGTCTCACAGGCTTTACGAGAGAACACCTATCCATTCCTGGCCATGATTATGCTGAAGGACCGAAGGATGACTGTGGTGGGACGGCTAGAAGGCCTCATTCAACCTGATGACCTCATTAATCAACTGACATTTATCATGGATGCTAACCAGACTTACCTGGTGTCAGAACGCCTAGAAAGGTACAAGGGAGTTCCCTTCTGACTTCTCTGCATTGGGCCGCTATTAGCTTTTAGCTTTCCCCATTTAATGTCAAAATATTTACATGCTTTGACCCAAATTACTCTATGTCAGAAAATTTGTTTTTAGAGATTTTCAAAATAAAGACAAGGGCTGGGTACAGTGGCTAACACCTGAAATCCTAGCACGTTAGGAGGCTGAGGCTGGAGGATTACGTGAACCCAGGAGTTCAAGACCATACTGGGCAGCAAAGTGAGACCCCATCTCTACAAAAAATAAAAAAATTAGCCAGGCATGGTGGTACATGCCTGTAGTCCCAGCTACTTGGGAGCCTGAGGCAGGAGGATTGCTTGAACCCAAGAGTTCAAGGCAACAATGAGCCCTGATTGTGCCTCTTCACTCCAGACTGGATGACAAAGCAGGTCCCTGTCTTTAAAAAATAATAATAAATGAATGAATAAACAAAATAAAGACAGGCCTCTATGCTCAAGAATGTACATTACGGCATTTAGAATAGCTGAATATAATATAAAGAACTTAAATGTTAAAAAAAAAAAAAAAGTGGAATGATTATAACTCCTCTCCAATACGTAAGTTATGTACATTAATCATAGGAAATCCTCAAACCACAAAAAAGTACAAGGAAGAAATGTAAAATTACTGATAATCCTACCACCACATTAACATTGTTATATTTCTTTTTAATTTTATGCACAACACACACCCTATATACATACAGTTTCTTTTTTGTAAAATTGGGATAATACTTTCTTACAGCCCTTCTTCATATAAGAATATATCACAGCCTTTTCCCTCATCATTAAATATTATTCTGCCACATCTTTTTAATTACTGTATAACATTCTATTATCTAAATACATCATAATTTAACCAGGCCACTCTTGGATTTTTAGATTATTTTCAGTTTGTTGCTATTATAAATAGCATACATGGAGGTAATTTGTTTGCGATTTGTGATGGTTTCCTTAAATTAAAATTAAGGTTCCTGGAAGTGCAGTTTCTGGGTAAGACAATATAAATGTATTTTAAAGCTTTTGATTTATAATGCCAATTTGCCCTCAAGAAATTTAGACAAACTTAAATTTTATGGGAAGCTTTTAATAAAATGAAATGCTTCATGTTATAACATGAAATGCTTTAATAACGTGAAATGCTTCTTACAAGTTAGAAAAATGCATAATCAGGCCAAGCATGTTGGCTCACACCTGTAATCCCAGCACTTCAAGAGGCTGAGGTAGGAAGACCGCTTGAACTCAGGAGTTTGAGGTCATCTTGGGCAACATGGTGAAACCCCATCTCTGCAAAAAATATAAAAATTAGCTAAGCGTGGTGGCACACACCTGTAAGCTAAGGTGGGACGATTGCTTTAGCCTAGGAGGTTGAGGCTGCAGTGAGTCATGATCACACCACTGCACTGTAGCCTGGGTGACGGAACAATGCCCTGTTTCCAAAAAAAAGGAAAAATGCAAGATCAGAACCCTATAAATAAAGTGTTGTTTTAACTGTGTAAAAAAATGTATAGAAGAGGAAACATTCTGAGGTAACTGAAATGTTCAGTCTTGAAGTGGTGGTTATGTGGTTACATTTATCAAAATTCATTGAATTGTACATTTAAGATCTGTGCATTTCTGTGCATGTAAATTTTATCTTAATTTTTAAAGAAAGTATAAAAGCAAGAATGTTTTATCTGTTCAACTGTTTTGATTGGCTAAATATTTTGGCTAAGAGAAAACAAAAATTTGTTGGGGAGAAGATAGATATGCCAAATATTACAGTGTTTTATCTTTGATTATTGAGTCTCTGAATAACTCTGAAAACTCTACATATTTCAGATCTGCTACAATCTGTATGGATATATATGTGTGTGTGTTGGTTTTATGAGAGCAGTACAAAAATGCAGTAACCCAAAATGGGGTTGATGTAAAATATGATGTTGATGATCCCTTCATAATAACAGTACTGTGTTACGTTTGTTAGAATTAGGGGAAAAGTTTTATTTTAAAAGCAGAGAGGAAAGCTTGCTGTCTACTTTTCTGCCAAATTAAACTGAGAAAAAAGGTGACTTATTCAGATTCTGCCATGAATCCCTTATGGCAGTGTGAAATAGTCATCTGCGAGAGAGATCCAAGATGGCTGATCACTAGCAGCTCAGGATTGTAGCTCCCAGTGAAAGCGCAGAGAACGAGATGACGCCACACTTTCAGATCAATTTTTGTTGCTCACGCACCAGGAGATTCCCAGCGGAGGAGCCCCACAGGTTGCCAGTGCGACTCTTGTGGCCGGCAAGGCGGTTTTGCCACTGCCTTGGTGCAGCGGTTCTTGGTGCAGAGTTAGAAAAGCACCATCAATCATAATGCCGCTGTTTTGGCCAGCACAGTGGGTTGCTCGGATTTTAGCACTGGGAATCAACAAGTTGGACGTCCACTCAGAAACCCAATTATAAAGACCACAGATGGATAAATCTATAAAGAAAGGAAGAAACCAGCCTAAAAAGGCTGAGAATACCCAAAATCAGAACACCTCTCCCTCGACAGGGGATCACAGTTCCTCATCAGCAACGGAACAAGGCCTGATGGAGAACGAGTGTGTTCCATTAACAGAAGTAGGCTTCAAAAGGTGGATGATAAGAAACTTCTGGGAATTAAAAGAACTTGTTCTAACCCAATGCAAAGAAACTAAGAACTTTGAAAAAAGGTTTGACGAAATGTTAA